CATAGCTGGGTGATTTGGTTCTAGGCGCAACATTACTTTTTTCATCTTTCTTCATTCATCGCCAAAGCAATTTTCTTGATCAGGCATGCAAACTCGAATGATCTGATCCAGTAATGCGAATAAACTGAGAAAAACTCTAGTTTGGGTCCCTACTGCCTCAAAGTTTAGATCTGCATAATTTTACATCTTCAACAGTCGTCAAAATTTGGATCACGTGGAAAGCATTCGCTACTACATGAACTTGATTTTCTGGATTGGGCCCAAAACCCTTGCCTTCTTGATAGGTTTCTCATAGAGATAGCTCGTATGGCACAACCATACTTGATCCACTTGATCCGCCCGACCCCCTTCGGTAATGGTCAAAAGTGGATCAACTGAATCAAGTGGACACCCGCCTCGCTACTGGTGAGTTCACTGATTTGACCAATAGCGAAGCGGATCAAGTGGATCAAGATGGCGCGTGCCCGTCCAGCTACATGTGTGAAACCATTGGATTCTCACTTCGTGGTGTTGATACTTCCTCATGAGCTAACGAATCACTACTACCTTTGCACAGATCTGCAGTACCTGACTGTTAATACAGATGACAGTTAGGGCATGATGATGTACATGATGTACCTAAGGTTCGTCGTTTTGTTTACGTAAACAACATGATCAATCTCTCTCATTTTTAGTACCACGGAGGTCGCTACGAGAAGAAGCTTCACCGAGGATGACACAAACTCAGATTCTGCTCTCCAACCACAAGACTAACCTAATAGCGTGTGTAAGCATAAACAATTGTAAGTACCCAAATGAAATGATTTGTTTCAGAAGAATGACTCTCATGATTCTGTTCTGAACAAGAATATGTGTGAGACACTCGTTTCTAAAGCATAAGAATGACTTGTTCTCAAAGCATCGCAACTCTACCGCATGGTTCCATGTGTGAATTTTTGTACTCCTAATAAGTTCTCATGGTGTCTAGTAAAAAATTTCGAGTAAAGCATACCTCATATTTGCTTGCAAGGAATAATGCTGACGTGCCAACCATTTGGAAGGTTTGTGATCTGATACCATGAAAAGTCGCAAGAAATCTGTCAACATAGTCGACTGCCAAGTGAAACGTTTCTCGATGTTGTTTTTCACTTCCGCACACCTCAAAGGAGAAATATAGAAGAGATAAACCATTTTTGTGTATGATAGATGGAAGTGTCGACACAGCTACCGTAGCATGATTTTCCGCCTAATCTATTGTACATCGCGTTTAGGGGATTAAACAAAGCCTTAACAAAAACATCTCTCTAGCACGATAGAACAGAGGAATGATTAATTCAATAAACACGTGATGTACATAGAATGCTTCATTTTGGCGCATTGAAGAGCATTTGAGGGACTTATTGCAAAACGTACAGGAGCTATACATACACAGACCTGCTGTTACTGATCTCGCTGCGGCTAAGCTCAATCCGAAAGTTGAAACTGACCTCCATCATCCAGTCCACAAGAACTGCCCGAGTGCGAGGAGCTAGGTCTGGATGATTGTCGAGTACATGATGACTTGCACGTATCAGCTCATCTTTACGGCAAAGAAGACCCCAGACCTATGGTAAGCCAGAGGCGATGAGTGTAAAAACTTTATGAAATTCTGGCGAAAGTTACCTTTTTCGGTGAGCCAATTCCTGTACACCGAAGCGCGGTAAGTTGTGGTGGCACCTCCTTGGTTTGATAGGACTGATCATTCAGACCTGCTTCAAGTTCTCGAAAAGCATCATTCTCCAGTTCCTCATTGTATTCACTGCATGTGTTGTCTGAATAAACAAGAAAAGCTTGGAAAATTAGGAGGAAAATTCGCAAAACACATACCCTCCCGTTCGCTCCCGGAAAACGAGGTCATATGCCCATCAGACTCCTCCTCCGCCGTAAATACGGAAAGCTGATCATCCTCCACAGTTGGATGGGAACCATCATCAGATGTTGACGGCAAATATTCAGGAGCCATCTGTC